ACAATGATAAGTATGCTATGGTGGCCTACTGCGGCACACTTTTGTACTATGTGTTCCATAGCCTCTCCTCTACCACTGCCGCTGTCCAGGACCTGTCACACAAGCCCAAAAAGGCTTTGAGTTGGGACCCAACGTTAGGGTTAATCAATGATGTCCAAGCTGCCTGCACAACCTTTCTGGCAGCCGCTCTACTATCACATGGGGGGAGTTGGACCGTTTTCAGTGTCTGGCTCCATAGCACAATAAATACAACACATTTTCTTTGCTTGTAGGGAGAAAAGGCTGCAGTTGTTACTGCTTAATGTAAGTCTCAGCAGAAGTTAACGGAATTTTATTGATGTGGTGCTACTGTAGCTTGATTTCGATGAAACAAGTTCATTTGCATACACCAAAGGGTGTCTTGGTCCAATCATCACATGTTTGTCACATTGGTTTGTAGTGTCGCAATTGGCGTGCAGTGGAGTCTCAACTTGTCACCAGGATCCGTGGTGTAACTGGCTGTCCCTGCAATATGCACTTCACAGAGCACTTGGACGGGATTCAATTACTAGAATACATTGAAAAAGATTATATAATATACTTGAGATAGTTTTTTGAATGAACTTTGGCCATATGCTCATGTATCTACCAAATTTGGGTGTGTCACAACTTGGTGTAAACACTTTACATTTGTCTTGAGAACAAGCCACAAGTTAGAAATAATTGTGTAAAGAACCTGAATCAGTTTGAGAGACATCTATCTATCTATGTCCAATTCTTGGAGGCCAACAGATGATCGTGGAAGAAGGAAGAGATGAAATAGTAAAATGGTCCAACCCAATACGACGGTCCAACTCCCCCCACGTGATAGTAGTAGTCGAAAACCTGGCACGACAACAAATGCAAAAGGGTTATAGTACTGTTACCAGTAAGTAGTATTGTATAAGTTGCAGAGTTTGAGCAGATTTGTTGAAGACAGTAAGTAAATTGAGTAACTTTCTCAGAAATCTCTGAGTCTCCGCAACTGGCGATGGCGAATTTGCTTCGTTAGGTTTGGCAGCAGTCTAGAGCAGTCTCTAACGTTTCGGCGTCAATAAAAGGGATATATGACCTTGGGGGTCAGTACAATGAATTTGTATGGTTAGGTTTGGCAGTAGTCTAGAGCGGTCTCTAACGTTTCGGCGTCAATAAAAGGGATATATGACCTTGGGGGCCAGCAGGACGGATTACATAATTATGACCGTGGTAATAGACCTTGCCAAGCAAGGTAATGGACCAGCCGGATGCATACAAATGGCTTGCGGGCACGGCGTCTCTTGCCGCGGCAGCTACCTACGGCAGCCTTCTGGGTGTCCCGTCAGCATCACACCATAGTTCCCCAATCTTTACTAGAACAACTGTAATACTGTTACCTGCTTTGATGTTGTACTGTTTGCTTCTATCAGTAGTAGCTAATTGTAAACCTCCACCCTAAGCTACTTGCTCTACCACACAGCTGCTGGTCAGCAAAGCATGCTGTATATACC